AAAAGATGCTTCCAGTGAAAAGGAGCATGTTTAGGGGGTCTTGGGTCCTAAACATAATTTCCTGTGCACGTCCCTGAACAAGAACTTTCATGTACCTCAACATGTTTTTGTTTTTCTCCACAAACAGGACCTGAACAGCAGCTACTACAGGGACTACGTCAAGGAAATACTAAAGAAGAAAAAGCCCAGTAAAATCAGGTGAATGTTTCCTCCATATTGACTCTGAATCACACACAGACGAGGGTTTAGGTTTTTGACCAATAACTCTGATTCTGGAAGTAAATTTCCCATTCATTTTTCTCATAGACCTTCTGGAAAAAAATTATATTAAAAGGACTAATCAGGTCTGTGTGGTGACTAATGACCAGAAAACCTATAATTCTATTTAAAGTCTGTTTCTGAAGCGTGAGTTCGGCTGCTTGTGTCATCATTCTTCCGTCATCCTTTACACATTCCACATTTTCACATTTGTTTGAGAAATTAATGAACACAAATGTAAGAATTTGCTTTTTCTTTGCCAGTAGGTCAAAGAAATAGGCCACGAAACAGGTATTAACTTTTTATATAAAGGGTCTGAACACCGGCCGTCACAAATATCCAACAAAACCGTTTGGATCAAGATTCAAGTCGAGGAACATTTGGCAGGCGCTTTGTTTCTACTTGTCCCAAATTCGCAACATACCCAAATTGCTAGTTTTTTTTTTTTTTTGCTCTAGTCAAATTAATGATCTCAACTTAATTGCAAGGCAAGTTTATTTGTACAGCACAATTCGTACACAAAGTAATTCAAAGTGCTTTACAGAATAAGAAATACATTAAAATCATAATAAAACAAATCAAAACATAAATAATCATGAAGATTAAAATAAAAAAAAAAGAGAGACATAAATTGGAGAGAAGAGTGCGGAATGAAAACCTTTCAGTTATTTGCACAGTTAAACAGAAATGTTTTGAGTCTGGATTTAAACAGCGTCACAGAAGAGTCTGTCTCACATGTTCAACTGTTCCAGGTTTTAGCTGCATGAACCTGAAACTCTGACTCCCCTTGTTTAGTCGTGACTCTGGGCACCAGCAGGAGTTGGTCCCTGAGCTCCTCAGAGTGTGAGATGTTCATATGACACTAACATGTCACAGATGGACTTTGGTGCTCGACATGGAGACACTTGTACAAGCAGAGCTGCTTTAAAGTCTCTGAGCCACAGGAGCCAGAGCAGAGACCTGAGCACAGGACTTATGTGCTCGTACTTCCTAGTTCGAGTCAGGACCCCGAGCTGCAGCGTTCTGGATGTTCTGGATGTTCTGCAGCGTCTCACAGCTCGTTTGGAGAGACCAGTGAGCAGAACATTACAGTATCTAACCTACTGGAGACAAACGCATGAATAAGTTTCTCCAAGTCTGATTTAGGCAGTAAACCTTTGATTTTCGCTATGTTTTTTAGATGGTAAAAGGCTGCAGATGTTATTGATTTGATGTGGCTGTTAAAGTTCAAGTCTGACATTATTACCCCGAGATTTCTTGCCTGATTTGAAGGTTTTAGAGAGAGAGACTGGAGGTGATGCTGACACTGTCCCTTTGTTTCTGTGGACCAAACACTATGACTTCAGTCTTGTCAGAGTTTAGCTGAGAAAGTTGTTTTGCTGATCTTTGGACGCAGTGACAAAGTGAGTCCCTGGTCATATGCCAGAGAGACGTAGAATGCATAACTGTGGTAGGACACGTTATTGCTTAACTTAATGGCAAGGTTTATCATCTACTTAAAGGCAAAAACACACACAAAACATTTTTAATACTGTTACAACCCCAACAAGGTGAGTCCCAACATATTTAAAAAGGACACAGGGAGTCAAAATATAGCTCTTAAATGTCTTTTATTTATCGTTGGTTCTTAATTAATTAATTTATTTTTATGTTTTTAAAGAAATTTAAAGAACCCTCCCGTGCCCCAAAAAAATTATGAAAAGTAATAAACAGAAAGATGGACCTGGCGAGCCGGTCAAACAGAACAAAAAGGCTGACAGGCTGACACAGGGCAAGGAGACAGGACTGACAGAGCTGGCGAGGCCACTGCTGGGCGAGCTGCCAGCAGCGTATTTATAGGCTCCGCACAGTCAAACAAAAATAAACCATAAACAAAAACTATACCAAAAAGGACCTAATTACAACTTACTACAAAAGGGAACAAAAACAACTAATAATCCGAGTTTATGTGCCTACGCTTAACAAATACTATATACATTCAGGCGTTAAGGGGCTATAAAAGTCAAGCCTGATTCATCAGATGGTTTCACTTGGTGGAAACCGTGTGACCTCGCAGCATTAGGATTTGTTCGCGTGACATTAGGCAGGTACTTTTTTTATTTAACCAATCACTGCTGTTTGGTCGTGAGGTATGTAATGCTCCAAATCCCGTAGGAAGAAGAACAATAGCGTCTTTCTTTTCTTTATGATGAAATTCACCGAACATTCTCTTTGTTCTGACTTTAAATCCTCGATCTGGGGAATCGTTGCCAACATAGACAGATAGGGCTGGGTATCATTAAGACGTTACCGATATGATACATATCTCGATACACAGGCCACGATACGATACATACCTCGATACAGTGCACTTTCCATTCGATACAATATATTTCAAAGCGATTCAATACGGTTCAATAAAAAATAAAGTTTAAATTGTGCCTGTGACATTAAAAGCATTTGTTAAACCACTTCTTGTGCAAAGTTCAAATGAAACACAAATATTTTAATCATTAAAACAGAGAAAATGTCAAATGTGTCGCATAAATGAGTTTCTTTTCACTAAACAAGCAACAAAAACTGTAGATCTGTGACAAAATAATTCAGTAAAATATACCAAAAATACTCTTGGTGATATATCGATACAGGAGTCCACAATATCGATACTGTATCATCACAACAAATGATACGATATATCGATATTTCAATATTTTTGCACACCCCTACAGACAGATGCCACGAGTTTGACGTCATGGCTTCACAGCTCACAGTTGATTGTTTGGTGCTCGGTTCTATAACTTCTGAGGTTCTTGGCGAAGAGAAAATTCAGTTTGTGGACAAAAGTTAGTTTGGTTGAAGACGTTTCGCAGCTCATCCAAGCTGCTTCTTCAGTTCTGAGGTTCTTACAAACCGTCTAGTGCCGACATGTCAGACTCAAATTCACAGAGGCCAAAATTAAAAACTCGGACTAAGTCATGGGCCAAACTAAATATTTACTTAAAATTTTAACAACATCTGCATGTTTTCTCTTCTTTCCAGATTTGTAATGTTAAACCTTTTCTTATTAAAATAAAAGTTTAATAATAAAAGTTTTGCTTAAACATTGAATCCAGAACAAACAAAATATAAAATAAGAACAAAATTTTAAATAAATAATGTCTCTATAGTCTATCTGTGTGCGACGGGCAGCTCTAATACAGATTTGATATGATTTCACGGGCCAAATATTATTGTATTGCAGGCCAAATTTGGCCCCTGGGCCTGAGTTTGACACGTGTGGTTTAGTGTATTCTGATTCTGAACTAGTCCCTGGAGAGAAATGAAATTGAGCAGAGGCACTAGGTGACGCCGGCCTGACTAATAAAGGTTTTAAAAAGACTTGAATTTAACTTGAAGAAACCTGTAGGAACCCTGTATGGAAACATGGCACATAAAAGTTTTTTTTTAAATGTGTTTTTTGCTCTTAAAACAGCCGTGTTATGAATATTAGTTTGCATGTAGCTGGTTGTTTTATAAACTCTTCTTCTTTTTGAAAAGTCTGTGGGAAAAATTAATGGAAAATTTACTTCTGGAACTGGAGCAAGTCTTCAGTCCACTGAAACTGGACATAATCTTTGTTAAAATTAATAAATCAAGGCTAGAAGAATAATGTTTTGATTTCTAACATGATTTGACTTGTTAACTTGCCGACTTTTATGTGAAGCACTTTGTTCAGCTGAAGTTGTTTTAAATGTGCTATATAAATAAAATTGAAATGAACGTATTATTTCTTCCACATTAGCTCGTCCAGTGAGAGCCCCGGTCTGTCTCAGCGGATGGTGGACGCGGTGAAGTCGTACATCTACACGCCCGAGGACGGTGAGCACCACAACTAAAGACTCAGGCAAAAGAGGTAACCAAAATATTTAAACTGAATTAACAGAAATCTCATCAAACAGCGTTCCGTTTCCCCCTGAAGCTCGCCATCTCCTGCGTCGTCGCCTTTATAACTCTGTACCAGGTTTGTCCAAACTCTTTATTTATCTATAACAACATTTAAAGGCTCATATTGGACGATTTTATGATCTGTGTTCTGATGTCGTTTCCTCGTCACAAACAGACCTGGGGTTTTTATTGTTTCATTCACACACGTTTAACACACAAACCCTGCAGATTTAGGCTGAGTTCTTGTCTCAAACTGAAAACTGTTCCACCTTGTGATGTCATGTGGTGATACAGGAAGTGCACCACTGTGTTTTTAAACTCCACACACCTTCACTAGAATCATTTGGATAAATTTCACAGCTGGAATTGCCGATCTCTTAACCCGATCCATCAACCTCGCAGCGTTAGGATCCGTTCGCTCGACAGTAGGCGGGTACTTTTTTTATTTAACCCAGGCATGTCCAAACTATACACACATTTTTCTTGGTGAATTGGCCCAAATGACCTTGCATCAATTAAAAATGAACATTTTACTGCAAGTTTTTTGAAAATCTACCTTGATAAAAGCTCATTTTTAATATTTAGTGTGTGGTTTTGAGGATCTTAGCATGAATAAAGACTCATGGCTCATTCTAACGTGTAAAACATGGACATATTTCAATTATTCCCTGTATTGAGCATCAGTCTACGGCCCTCGATCGGCCCTCTGCTTCGTCTGTGTTTAGATTTGTGGCCCCTGATGAAAAAAGTTTGGACACCCCTGATTTAACCGATCACCGCTGTTTGGTTGTGACGTGTGTAATGTGCTGGAACACTCAGTGGTGTCCATGTAATATCCGGCACCACAGCAAACAAAGCAGAGAGTGAACATGTCAAAAGATCATTGTTGTTTCTGTGAGATGAACTTGCAAAGTAAGGGGGCAGAAAAAATGCAAAGTTTACTGTTGTGCTGTTCCACAAAAGGAACCCAGACAGACGCCACGAATTTGACGTCATGACTTCACAGCTCTTTGCCGATTGACCAGTCCGGGGTTCTAGTATAGACATGTCAAACTCAGGCCCGGGGACCAAATTTGGCCCGCGATATAATTATATTTGGCCCACGAGATCATATCAAACATGTATTAGAGCTGCTCGCCTGCAACAGATCGACTGTAGGGACATGATTTATTTAAAATGTTGTTATTATTTTATATTCTGCTTGTTCTGGATTCAGTGTTTAAGCAAAACTATTATTAAACATGTATTTTTATAAGAAAAGGTTTAACATTACATATCTCAAAAGAAGAAAAACACGTAGATGTTAAAATTTTCCAAAAAATATTTAGTTTGTCCCACAACTTAGTCCCAGTTTTTAATTTGGCCTCTGTGAATTTGAGTTTGACTCTCCTGCTCTAGTGTATTCGGATTCCTGAACTAGTCGCTGGAGAGACATGAAATTGAGCGGAGGCACTAGGAGGCGCCAGACTGGAAACCGATTACAGATGCGCAGATTGCGGTTACAGCCGCGGTGTCCGCAGCTAAACCGCGGGTCGGGCGGATGATGTGACGAAAAATAATATTTGAATTAAATTTGGACGGGTGGCGGTTTAACTCCTCAAATTTTTAAAAATATATATTACAGTCTATATTGTTAAGTGTTATGAGATGTGCGTCTTTACTTCTATGTGCAGTGTTTATAGCGGCGTGTGGCGTGTGGCGTGCGCGCCCCCGAGGCACACGCTTCTTGAATGGGCCTGCGGATCGTACAGGCGTCTATGTTTTACTGTATGTGAAATGAACGGTCAGAAGGCGACCGAAGCGAGTCAGGAAGCAATTGTCCTGTTATTTAGTGCATCTCGGCAAATAAAGCCACGATTCTTGAGCAACGACCTGGCGCATTTATTGAGCCCAGGCACTCACGGTGAGGCTCCGAACAGGGAGTTAAACCCTGAGCAATGAGCGAATGTGAACATGCACGTTGAGTGAATTTTGGAATGAATGAGCTATAGACTTTGTATTTTTATCGAGGCTCTTTAGTTTGTTTGCTGTATGATTGTTCTAAAATCTATAATCAATGGGCGGATGGCGGGCGAGTGCGGTTTTGAAAATTGGTCAAAACCTTGGGTGCAAATGGACAGCGGGTGCATGATGAGTTTTGCGTCACGATTGCGGATGAAAAAATAGCCCATCCGTGCATCTCTACTACCGATCTCTATTGAACTAACGGTAAAAGGAGCTGTTCATTTGAAAATTACAGCTTCATGACATCACAAGGTGGAAAAGAGCATTTTGAGCTTTATGAAAACAGATTAATAATAAAGCAGACCTGGGCATTGTCCAGCTCCAGGGCCACATGCAGTCGACTCTGACCGGCCGGTTTAAGCTGATTTGGAATTACAAAATAAACATATTTGATCATTTGACCTCATGCCTGGACTAAAGCTGCGTTGATCTTATTTGAGACGTGTAGTTTTTAATGACATTTTTTATAAGTCAGCCTCACTTTTTCATTACATAAACTCTTTCCAGTCTGACCAACTCATCAGAACAATGATATTTACTGCGTTTTTATAAAGAAATACAATTGATATTATGCAGAATTGAGTTAAACATTTTGGTTTTCCACAATATTTTCTGTTTCTCATGTGGCCCCATGGAAAAAATAATTGCCCACCCCTGTAATAAAGAGTTACTCAAACATGTGAATGAAACAAAACACAAGTCCAGGTCTGTTTTTCAAGAGGAACAACATCAGAACACGACTGAAACCTCACAAGAGTCAGTCTGTGTAATATAGGACCTTTAAAGGTACACTATGTAACTTTTCTGAAGGGTCCAAATTGTGATGTCATATAAGTAAGTAAGTAAGTAAATCTTTATTTATATTGCACCTTTCACAGATTAAAAAAATCACGCCGTGCTTTACAGAGCAAAACAGCATAAAAACTACATAAACAAGAACAGAAGAAGTACAGATACAGTCAACTAAAAGCCTGTCTAAAGAGCAGCTGCTTTTTAAAAGAGTTTATAGAGTCTGTCTCACGTAGAGCCGGGGCAGGGCATTCCATCATTTGGGAGCCACAGCCTGAAAGCTCACGTCACCCCGAGTTTTAAATCGGGTCTTTGGGACCATCAAGAGGCTCTGACCAGAGGACCGGAGGGTGCAGTCTGAGGAGTCGGGCGCAGTAAGTCACTGATGTACTGGGGCGCCTGTCCGTTTAAAGCTCTGTAAGTTAAAACCAAAATTTTAAAATCAACACGGAGCTTAACAGGAGCCAGTGCAGTGAAGATAAAACAGGTGTAATGTGAGTTCGTCTGTTTGGAGACTATGGACCAGTGGACTCACTTTGTCACTGCATCCAACAGATCAGTGTGTGGAGGCAAAACAACTTTCTCCAGCTAAACTCTGACAAGACTGAAGTCATAGTGTTTGGTCCACAGAAACAAAGGGGACAGTGTCAAAGCTAATCACTCCAGTCTCTCGCTCTAAAACCTTCAAATCAGGCAAGAAATCTTAGGGTAATAATGGACTCAGACTTGAACTTTAACAGTCACACATAAAATCAATAACATCTGCAGCCTTTTACCATCTAAAAAACAGAGCAAAAATCAAATGTTTACTGTCTAAATCAGACTTGGAAGAAACTTATCCATGCAAAGTTTGTCTCCAGTAGGTTAGATACTGTAATGTTCTGCTCACTGGTCTCTCCAAACGAGCTGTGAGACGCTGCAGAACATCCAGAACATATAGACTGTTCGATTAATGTGATCTTGAAATAAAACACAGAATAAAAAAAATAAATAAATCACAAAATACACAAACTGGACAGTTTTGGTGCTATTTGGTCCAATAACGCCAAAGGTCTGCAAAAAAAAAAAGAAAAGTTGAGATGTACAAAAATGTAACTGGGGTGTAAGAATTAAAAAAAAAAAATACTGTGGAGCACTTCCTGTATTACCACATGACATCACAAGGTGGAACAGAGTGTTTTCAGTCTGAGAGAAGAAGTCTAAATGTGCAGGATTCGTGTGTTAAACATGTGTGAATGAAACACGTGTGATGAAGAAACGACATTAGAACAGATCAGAAAATAGAGTTATATGGGCCCCTTAATCTTAAAGCTGCATTATGTAACCTGCTTGTTTCTATGGAGACGTCATTGCTCTGCCTGGAACAGCTCTACTTTACATTTATTCAATATTACAGATGGTTTTAAAGCTCAAAAATACCTCGAAAAACAGACATTCTGGGTGTGAGCGGGGTCGCCTCTCCACAGATCTGACCTGAAAAGTTACAGAATGCATCTTTAAGCTTCTCTGATGTGCCTCTGTGTGTTTGTTGAAGATGACCCTGCTGCTGCTGCTGTCCGTGGTGCCGACGCTGCAGATCGCGCGGTTGGGAGTCGACCTGGACATCGCCAAAGTTTTATCCGGTTTCAGAATCGATCTTTCTCCGGACAAACACGAGGTGATGAGGCTCGTGATCTTCTACATCTGGTGCGTCGAAGGTGAGTGTGTCGATGTTGGTGGAATGTTCAGTGGTTGCCTTGGCGACACAGTGCACAATAGACAATAAACTGAAAACTCAAGAAAGAAAACAAAAGTGATTTGAAGAGCAGATTTTCATTTTCCTGTGATCAGTCTGAGTGTTCATGATCCTGTTTATTAGTTTGATTTTTCAACTAAAAGTTACTTTAAAACTGTAATGTGTTATTTATTTATGACTTAATGGTGGGTTCGGTCAAGCGGTAACGGAGGGAAACAGGGTCAGATTTTTGACATTCAAATGTCTCTTATTCAGAAACTAGAGGAACTATTGAAATAAGTAAAGTATCAGAATGTAGGAAAGAGTTACACTCCAACAGGGTCAAGTTAAACCTGTGATATTCTTTCAAGTTGTTGACAAAAAATGTAAAAACTCATGTCGGTAACGGAGGGAATGAAATATGCAGCACTTTTTGGTCAATAAATCCAAACAGTGATAACTCTTGGTTCTCACTTACATATCCTTAACAAACTGGTTTGAATATTTGCTTCATATAGTTTTCTACCATATGGTACAAGATTAGGTTGAAAAACCTCTTACTTTTTGACTCATGAGATTTTTTATTAAGAAAGGTCATGGTAACGGAGGGAAAAGTAACGGAGGGAAAATTGTACAAACAAGTAGAAGGTGCAGGATTTTACATCATTTGTCAACTTTTTTCTTCTGAATACTTTAATATTACTTCAAAATGAAAGGAAACTATTCTATAAATATGTAGTATATATATATATATATTATATATATATATATTATATATATACTTTTTTTTTTTTTTTTTAAATCATGTACCTTCATCAACAGTTCAAAGATGGAATAACACAAGATATGATGAAATACATCCATTTATTGACATGATTTGCAGGTCTTTGAAATTTGGGAAATAATTTTTGTTCCATGTTTCATTACATGGTCTGTTTAAAACATATGGAACTTTAGAACCAAAAATGGAACAGAAAAAAGGTCAACAGTTTCATAAACTAGAGTACATATGTATCTGTTCAATACATTTTTATATCAGATGAATTAACTTGAATTTTTGGCCTTGTTGTTTACTTCTGCTTGACCGGACCCTTGTGCAATATGACTGTATTTAAATTATAAAACATTACACAAATATTACAGCACTTTAAGTTACTCTCAACAAAATAACAATCAGCGAGTGAAGATGCCAAACTTTTGTATTGTATTTGGACTGAACCAGGACTAAACCAGGACTGAACCAGAATTGAACCAAAATTGAACCAGGACTAAACCAGGTCTAAACTAGGACTAAATCAGTGTCTACAGTTGGTGACTCGAGGGTCTGACTGTTTCTCTGTTCACAGTGTGTTACATTTCGGCTCTGACGCTGTCGGCTCTGGTGAGCCTGGCCATGCTCATGCGCTCCATGGTTCTGCACAGGTACAGAGTGTGTGTGTGTGTACATGAGTGTGTGTGTGTGTCTGTGTGTGTACATGAGTGTGTGTGTGTGTCTGTGTGTGTGCATGAGTGTGTGTGTTATTAATCCTCCTAGACCTGGAGTTGTGTTTTGTTTCAGTCACATGTTTAACACAAAAACCTGCACATTTAGGCTGAGTTCTTGCCTCTAAAATGGAAAACACTCTCTTCCACCTCGTGATGTCACGTGGTAATTAGGTCAGTCGGAAAATAAAGTCCCACGGTCACTTCTGTTGTGGCTTTTTTTGTTATATTGTCGCATTTGTATTTGTCACAACATTTGCATTTGTTATGAGCCCCTCCCGCCTTCTGTACCACACACCTTCTCGAGAATAATTTTGATATTTTCAGCCTTGAAATTTCCAATCTGTACTAAATTAAAGGTAAAAGGAGCTGTTCACTTGAAAACCACCACTTCATGACATCACAAAGTGGCATTTTAAGCTTTGGAGATGTAGACAGACTAATAATAAAGAGTTACTCAAACATGTGAATGAAACAAAACACAACTCCAGGTCTGATTTTGTGGAGGAAACAACATTAGAACATGACTTAAACCTCAGAAGAGTCAGTTTTGTGTCATATTTGACCTTTACTCTCTCTCGCTCTCTGTCTTTAGGTCAAACCTGAAGCTGCTGTACAGAGGAGACGTCTACGGCGTGTACAACCGTCAGAGGAGGATCCGCCCGTCCAGGCCGGCTCTGGTCTGCTGGATGGGCTACACCAGCACCGCGGCTCACACCGTCGTCGGTATGTGGAGCAAATATTGTTATCAGATAAACTGGGCTGGAATGTGTTCACCTCATTCACTCTGTAAACAAATGGACGTAGTTAACCCAGGAAGTGAGAGTCCAGCGTTAAAGAAACTCAAACTCCAACCTTCACCTTTATTTATTAAAGGTCCTATATTACACAAAACTGACTCTTGTGAGCTTTAAGTTATTTTCTAATGTTGTTTCCTCATCAAAAACAGACCTGGAGTTGTGTTTTGTTTCATTCATATGTTTGACCTTTTTCACAACAGCCACAAGTGTCCCGCTGTAGGTTTGTGGAACTTCCGGTTAATGGTTTTCTGTGGCAAAATGTGTGTGTAAATGTGTGTGTAAATGTGTGTGTAAATGTGTGTGTAAATGTGTGTGTAAATGTGTGTGTAAATGTGTGTCGTTTTCTCCAGCAGCTTTATAAATCTGCCCCATCACCAAATCTTCAATCAACAAACTCCACAAAGGATAAACATTCTAACATGAACAATTTATCCACAACGATCAAGAGAAGAAAGACCTCAGAGTGATTCTAGAATTAAAAATCGATTTCATGATGTTGATATTAGCACAGATAGACGGATTTGTGCAGTTCAAATGCTACAGATGTTCAGCGATCACATGTCTAACATTTAAACTGCACAAATCTACCTATCGATGCAAATATCCATCCATCCATTTTCTTCCGCTTATCCGGGGCCGGGTCTCGGGGGCAGCAGTCTAAGCAAGGACCCCCAGACTTCTTTCACCCCAGACACTTCCTCCAGCTTCTCCAGGGGGACCCCAGGGCGTTCCCAGGTCAGTCCAGAGACATAGTCCCTCCAGTGTGTCCTGGGTTTTCCCTCCTCCTCCTGGGGCCTCCTCCCGGTGGGACATGCCCGGAACACCTCCAGAGGAAGGCGTCCAGGAGGCATCAGAACAGATGCCCGAGCCTCAGCTGCTCCTCTCCATGTGGAGGAGCAGCGGCTCTACTCCGACCTCCTCACAGTATCTCTGAGGGAGCGCCCAGACGCCCTGCGGAGGAAACTCATTTCGACTGCTTGTATCGCAATCTCGTCCTTTTGGTCATTACTGCTCATATCCACATCATGAAATCGAGTTTTAATTTTAATTGTAGAATCAGTCTGAGTGAACAAGTTCCTTCTGTTTTATTCATGATCATAACATTACTTTTGTTCAATGTGTCACTAATGCATCCTCGTTGTTGTTTCCTTTAAGTTTTGGTCTTTCTTCTCTTGATAGTTGTGGATAAATTGTTCATGTTAGAATGTTTATCCTTTGTGGAGTTTGTTGGTTGAAGGTTTGGTGATGGGGCAGATTTATGAAGCTGCTGGAGAAAACGTGAGACATATTTTGCCAAAGAAAAGTATTAACACAAGTGACGTTTACCCGACGCTGTGAAAAAGGTCTATTATTAGTCTATCTACATCTCCAAAGCTCTAAACGCTCTGTTCCACCTTGTGTTGTCATAGGCAATGTTCAGACTGCAGGGCTTAATGCTCAATTACGATTTTTTTGTGAAATCCGATGTTTTTGCGAGGTCGTTCACATTTCCAGTTAAATGTGATTTGTATGTGACTCCAGTGTGAACATTAAACAGCCCGAAAGTGTCCCACATGTGACACTGGAGACACGACGACGTCAACCACAGCGAGCGTCTCTGTGTTTACAGAAGTTGTCCAAACATGGACGCAGCATCGAGCACCTGGAGATTTTAAAGTTCCTCTCGTACCGGAGCCAGAACATGAACAACTTACTTGTTTTAAGGAGGAGATTGAGAAGGAGAAGGACGAGGTTTTTGGTCGTGGTGTTTTGTGGGACAGAACGTTGAAAGGAACATGTGGGTGCACGTGAGTGGTGAGTGGAGATGTGCGTCCCTTCAGTGACACATGGAGTTCATTAACAATTTTCACCTACTTCAGTGCAGAATAGTGACGTTTGTGTCTTGTTGATAACGTGTAGGTGGATGAATGCACTTTGGCCGTTCAGACTGAAGTCACATGTCAAAAGATCAGATATGTATCAGTTTCAGGAGCACATATCCAAGTGTCCTGGGTCACATTTGAAAAAAATCGGATCTGTGTGGTTCAGACTGACATTAAAAGATCAGATACAGGAACATAGAGACAAAAAATCGGATTTGGGTCACTTCAGGCTGCAGTCTGAACGCAGCCATCAACAGTTCCTTTTACCTTCAGTTCAATAGAGATCCAGAGCTGAAATGATCCAAATGATTCTAGTGAAAATGTGTGGAGCTTAAAAACACCATGGAGCACTTCCTGTATCACTACATGACATCACAAGGTGGAGTTTCAGTTTGAGAGAAGAACTCAGGCTAAATGTGCAGGTTTGTGTGTTAAACGTGTGTGAATGAAACAAAAAAAACACAACTCCAGGTCTGTTTGTGACGAGGAAACTGCATCAGAACACAGATCAGAACATAGTTTTATACACAGGCCTTTTAAACAATTCTACCTTTATTCTTTAAATGTTCTTTACACCAGCGCAATAACCTCTGTGTGTGTGTGTGTGTGTGTGTGT